CCTCACCGCCCTCCAACAGTATATGACAGTTTGACTTTCTCCACCCTGTCGTCAACATGTGGTACTGTCAATATTTTTAATTTGGTCATTCTGATGGGAATGTAGTGGTATCTCATTTTGACACTAACCTTTTACTTGATGACCATTGAAGTTGAGCACCATTTTATGCTACTTAACATTTGGAGATCTTTTTGTTTTTGTTTGAGAAAAATGGCCTTTAGAAGACATTTAAAGATCTATTCTGCAATGCTTGTTTAAGTAACTTGACCATATTTCTGTTGAGTTGTCACTCTTTTTCTTAATGATTTTTAGGAATCATTTATATATTCTGGATATGAGTTCTTGGTCAAATATGTATGTGGCTAGTATCTTTTCTTATATTGTGGTTTGTCTTTTTGTAACGGTGCCTTGACAAAAAGAAGTTCTTAGTTTTAATGTAATGTATTTTACTAGTTTTTTGTTTGTTTGTTTTTTGAAACGGAGTCTCACTCTGTCACCCAAGCTGGAATGCAGTGGCACGACCAGGGCTCACTGCAGTCTTGACCTCCTGGGCTCAAGCGATCCTCCTACCTTAGCCTCCCAAGTAGCTGGGACTACAGGTGTGCGCCACCACACCCAGCTATTCTTTTCTGTAGCAACAGGGTTTCGCCATGTTGCCCAGGGTAGTCTTAAACTCCTGGGCTCAAGCCATCCTCTTGCCTCAGCCTCTCAGAGTGCTGGGATTACATGAATGAGCCACAATACCCAGCCTTCTTATTTTTAATCTGTCCTCTATTTCTTCTTAAGACTCTAAAAATAAGGTAATTTGCAACAGAGGTCATAACAGGAAATGGACCCTCAAGTAAGATTTTGAGATTGGATGGGATAAACACATGCACGCACACATAAAATCAATCAGAGGAATAACCTCATTGCTGTAAGGAAAGAGAGACCACAGACTACAGGTAATCCATAGCTTACAGTGTTTATGTTTTTTTGTGTTTTTGTTTGTTTGTTTGTTTTGAGACAGTGTCTCGTTCTGTTGCAAGACTGGAGTGCAGTACTGTGACCATAGCTCACTGCAGCCTTAACCTCCTAGGCTCAAGCAGTCCTCCTGCCTAAGCTTCCTGAGTAGCTTGGACTACATACGTACACTACCATACTCAGCCAATTTATATTTATACTTATTTTTTATTTTTATTTTATTTTAAAATGGAGTTTTGCTCTTGTTGCCCAGGCTGGAGTATATGTGTGATCTTGGCTCACTGCAACCTCCACTTCCCAGGTTCAAGCGATTCTTCTGCCTCAGCCTCCTGAGTAGCTGGGATTACAGGTGTGTGCCACCACACCCAGCTAATTTTTGTATTTTTTCATATAGATGGGGTTTTACTATCTTAGTCAGTCTGGACTTGAACTCCTGGCCTCAAGTGATCCACCCACCTCAGCCTCCCAAAGTACTGGGATTACAGGTATGAGCCACTGCACCTGGCCACCACATACAGACTTAATTGTACTTTTTATGTTTTTCTAATGTATTTTTCTTTTCTTTCTCTTAAGATAGGTCCCGCTCTATCACCCAGGCTGGAGTGCAGTGGCATGATCATAGTCCACTGCAGCCTCAAAAGCCTGGGCTTAGGCAACCCTTCTGCCTCAGCCTCCTGAGTTGCTGGGATAACACGTATGTGCCACCATGCCTAGCTAATTAAAATAACATTTTTAGAGATTGGGTCTTGCAGTGCTGCCCAGGCTGGTCTCAAACTCCTGGCCTCAAGAGATCCTCCCAAGTGATGAGCTGAGATCACATCACTGCACTCCAGTCTGGGCGACAGAGACACTATCACAAAAAAAAATAATGACAACAAAAAGAAAATTACTCTATGTGGAGCATCAGAACTCCAGTACAGGTCTGAAGGAGTTGATTATCTTTGGTAACCACCAGGCAGATATCATCGATTTGTAGTATCAATTACATGCTTAATTCTTTCCCTTTCCTATTCTAATGTTAGGGCATTGGTGGGAAGAGTGGGGTTCTAAGACACAGGATAGGGATATTTGAGCAGAGGACAATGAAGCTGAAAATTCTGAATATCAATATTCCCCTAAACCTCTTTCTGAGGAAACCAGGCTCTTTTTTTTTTTTTTTTTTTTTTTGAGATAGAGTTTTGCTCTTGTTACCCAGGCTGGAGTGCAATGGCGCGATCTTGGCTCACCGCAACCTCCGCCTCCTGGGTTCAGGCAATTCTCCTGCCTCAGCCTCCTGAGTAGCTGGGATTACAGGCACACGCCACCATGCCCAGCTAATTTTTTGTATCTTTAGTACAGACGGGGTTTCACCATTTTGACCAGGATGGTCTCGATCTCTTGACCTTGTGATCCACCCGCCTTGGCCTCCCAAAGTGCTGGGATTACAGGCTTGAGCCACCACACCCAGCCAAGGAAACCAGGCTCTTATGCATAGAGGCTTTCAGTGACTGTACTGGACAAGCTCCTTTACAAGCTGAAACATGCTCTCCTCAGAACTCAGCGGCTGGCACTAGGCACGGTAACTCATGCCTGTAATCCCAGCCCTTTGGCAGGCTGAGGTGGGAGGAATGCTTGAGTCCAGGAGTTCAAGACCAGCCTAGGCAACACAGCAAGGCACTGTCTCTTTAAAAAAATTTTTTTTTTACTAGCTGTACAGGGTGGTATGCGCCTGTAGTCTCAGCTACTCAAGGAGGCTGAGGTGGGAGGATGACTGGAGTTCAGGTGTTCCAGGTCTCAATGAGCCACGATCACACCACGATGCTCCAGTCTGAACAACAAAGCAAGATCCTGTCTCCAAAAAATGTTAACAAAATAAAGAACTTACCCTTACTACCTATTAGTGCCTCCAGTTATAGACCAACATAGCCTCATCAGAGAGGTATGAGGCCTTCTCTGTAAAGAGAAGGCCTTCATAGGAGAACTAACGGCCTTGCCATTTTAATCAGCGGGATCCTGGACAGCATATATGGGAATACATTTACGGTTAGATTATGGAAAATTTATTGGCATGGATGCACTTACCTAAGAATCAAGATTTAATATTTTGGCATTAATAATTTGGTAGGATGAGGCTTAAATTCAGTAATAGCCTATAAATAAGATGGCCAAAATGCCAGAAATTCATGGGCATATTGTAGAGCAGAAAATACAAAGGCTCCCTAGCCATTGTTAATTTTCACCATGTCATTAAGGAATGCAGTGATGATGGGAGCACCACCATTTCTAAGGAGCTCTGAAGTGGCTTTGTTTGCAAGAGATAATGGTGATGAATACTGTAGTGGAACTGGGTTTGCTGATCTTCGTGGGAATATTAGAATCCCAAGGCAGTAGGGTCCACATAATGGCATATAAATATCAGAGACAGACCAGGTGCAGTGGCTCATGTCTGTAATCCCAGCACTTTGGGAGGCTGAGGCAGGCGGATCACTTGAGGCCAGGAGTTTGAGACCAGCCTGGCCAACACGGTGAAACCCCATCTCTTGTAAAAATACAAAAATTAGCTGGGTGTAGGGGTACCTACCTGTGGTCTCAGCTACTCACGAGGCTGAGGCAAGAGAATGGCTTGAACTTGGGAGGTTGCAGTGAGCCAAGATCAGGTCACTGCACTCTAGCCTGGGCAATCAGAGACAAGTGGCCACAATTAGCAAAATAAGCCAAATTCTTTTTGTTTTGTTTTGGAGACAAGGTCTCACTCTGTCACTCAGGTTGGAATGCAACAGTGTGATCTCAGCTCACTACAGCCTCTGCCTCCCGAGTAGCTGAGACTATAGGTGTGCACTACCATGCCAAGCTAGTTTTTATATTTTTGGTAGAGATGGGGTTTCATCATGTTGGCCAGGCTGGCTAGAATTGTTTTTTTGAGAGGTCGTCTCACTCTGTCGCCCAGGCTGAAGTGCAGTGGCGTGATTCAGCTCACTGCAATCTCTGCCTCTCAGGTTCAAGCGATTCTCCTGCCTCTGATTCCTGAGTAGCTGTGATTACAGGCACCTGCCTAATTTTAGCAGTTTTAATAGAGATGGGGTTTCACCATGTTGGCCAGGATGTTCTTGAACTCCTGACCTCATGATCCACCTGCTTTGGCCTCCCAAAGTGCTAGGATTACAGGCATGAGCCACCACACCCGGTTGGCCAGATTTCTTAAGGCACTGTTTCTAAACTTGTACTAATACTAGAAACCCAAAACTATAAATTCTACCTTGGACAAGTGGTCAAAGTAGGGGACCTAAGCAAGTCAAGTGATGGAATCTTGGCCTGACTGTGGCTAACAGTGGATCCAGAGTGACCCATACTGTGGTTGTTTCTCCAGTCCCGGATGTGTTGTAGTAGCAGATATATTTTAATAACAAACTTTATTTTGGTTCCTGATCTATGGAGTGATTGCCATCATAGATGGAAAGTGCTACACAGCAGCTTAGGTCTGCTTTCTGCCACTCCTTATTAAGATAGTAAAGGAAAAACAGTACCATATCCCTGAGGAAATTGTAGAGATTGGCCAGGCACAGTAGATCATGCCTGTAACCCCAGCGCTTTGGGAGGCCAAGGCAGGAGGATTGCTTGACCCCAGGAGTTTGAGACCAGCCTAGATAAGACAGCAAGACTCCATTTCTACAATATCAAAAAGCAAAATAGAAAAAGCAAAAGAAATTGCAGAGATTAGTGCCACCATGCTGCCAAGGTGATTCATACCACATTCTCATTTAAATTTCCTGTGGCCACCAGATTCACCATAGGGAATGACAGTTCTAGGTGTGGTATCTTCTTTGGAAGAAATTAATATACATGTTGGCATGATACTGATCTGATATTGATCTGGAAATGTCCCCCAGCCCCATTCTAGTCATAAGGAGAATCAGAAACAAACTGTTGAAATATTTACATAGGAGGGACATCGGTAAGTCCTGACTGTCTTTTCTCAGGCTACATCAACTCTCCTGTTCTCTATATGGTATGAAGGGACCTTGATGATATTGTTATTCCATAGAACATCACACTGATCCATTATAGTAATGAAATTATATTAAATAAAACTGATGAGCAGAAGTAGGCAGCATTCTACATGTTTTTGTAAGAAAGGTGCAAGATGAACCTTGAAAAACTTCCAGGACTTGCCAAAGGTTTCTAGGGGTCCAATGGCCAGAGATATATTAGGATATCCACAAGATCCATACTTTTTTCTCTTCCATTAACTGGTCAGAGGGAACTCCTTATGATGACAGTTTATGTGCATTGAGGGAGAAGTGTTGAAGGAGTACAGGCAGGTACTGTAGGAGTCTAGTCACCTGCTCATTCATGGTTCCAGTCCCATATGTAATGCATTGTTCCTGTGCTCATTCATTTGTACAGTTTGGTGAGTCAAATTAACACCAATTCATGATGGGCAGTTTGATTCACACAGTCACTTGATGTCCCATGATCAGGTGTTGCATCTCTTCCAGGTAGCAGCACAAATCAACAGGTGCTTTTAAAAGAAAAAAAAAAAGGAACAAAACCATGGTTAAGGAAAATACAGCCTTACTCCAAAACCTTCAGGGTCTGTGTTGTAATTCTTGTACCTAAACTTGCCAGAGGCTTCATATAACATCTCTCTTACATTAACTTCCAATACCATTGGGTCTACAGGATCATAAAGCCTAAGTCTGGGCCCCACCCCGCTCAAAACTTATTTGTTTATTTTTTGAGACACAGTCTTGCTCTGTCACCCAGGCTGGAGTGCAGTGGCAAGATCTTGGCGCACTGCAGTCTCTGCCTCCCAGGTTCAAGTAATTCTCCTGTCTCAGCCGATTAGCTGGGATTACAGGTGTGCACCACCACACCCGGTTAATTTTTGTATTTTTGGTAGAGACGAGGTTTCACTATGTTGGCCAGGCTGGTCTTGAACTTCTGACCTCAGGTTATCCACCTGCCTCAGCCTCCCAAAATGCTGGGATTACAGGTGTGAGCCACTGTGCCTGGCCAAAACTGGTAGTAGTCCTATAGCTACAGTTAAGCCTCCAAGAACAGCTAACACAATTGTACTATGTTTTGCCTCCAAATCTAAAGACACCTGTCACATATTTTGCCTTTTTCTTTGTTGTGATAGTGGAAAGTACTTTTCTCTAACAAGTGCCTTTAAATGGGTGTTTGCTTTGTTTTGGTCTAGCTTTTATAGTTGTTCACAACAGAAGTATGGTCAAAACCACTAAGTTCGTAATTATCAGAAGTGAAACTCTAAAATACTTTTTTTAAGACAGACTTTCTGTCATGAAGGCTGAAGTGCAACGGCCTGATCATAGCTCACTGAAGCTTTGAACTCCTGGCCTCAACTGATTCTCCCACCTCAGCCTCCTTGAGTAGCTGAGATTACAGGCATGCACCACCATGCCTGGCATTTTTATTTATTTATTTATTTATGTGTGTGTGTAGAAACAGGGTCTCACTATGTTGCTCAGACTGGTCTCAAACTCCCGGTCTTAAGTGATCCTCCTGCTTTGGCATCCCAAAACACCGGGATTACAGGCATAAGGCACCTCACCCGGCCAAGGGGACTTTTTTTTTTTTTAATATCATAAACTTTACTAGAAGTTCTGTATCCTCTCTCAAAATACACAAGGTAGCTGTTGTGCATATATTGTCTATAGCTAATGCTTCGTGCACAAATACCTAGGTCTATGGCAATAACTGTTACTTAAAGACTTGAAACTCAAGGTTAACATTGCTAAAAGCAAAGGCATACTCTTAGAAAAGTAAAAGTAGGTTCAAAAGAATATGAGGATCACAGTTAAATAGAGATTTCAAGTGTAAAAGCAGAGATAAAGTTTTTATCCTGTATACATCTCTCTTTTAGGAAACCATTGAAAAGTTCTTTATTGTGCTACATTATAATGAAAGCTGTGTTTAATATTTTTTTTTTTTTGAGATGGAGTCTCACTCTGTTGCCCAGGCTGGAGTACACTGGTGTGCTCTTGGCTCACCGCAACCTCCACCTCTCGGGTTCAAGCAGTTCTCCTGCCTCAGCCTCCTGAGTAGCTGGGATTACAGGCAGGCACAACCATACCCAGCTAATTTTTGTATTTTTAGTAGAGAGGGAGTTTCACCATATTGGTAAGGCTCGTCTTGAACTCCTGACCTCATGATCTGCCCACCTCGGCCTCCCAAAGTGCTGAGATTACAGCGGTAAGCCACCACACCCAGCCAACTGTTTAATTTAATGGTGCTATGCAAGATAGTCTGGAGAAGGAAAAGCAGAGGCAGAGAAGCCTACTGTGAATGTACAGTAATGGACCAAATATGAGTTGAGAGGCATCATAGTGTAATGAAAAGAATGTTGACATTAGAATTACAGGACTGCTAGTAATGACTGATCCTGTCACCTTGGGCAAGTCATTTAACCTGTCTGATTCTGCATCCTTATTTATATGTCAGTCACCTTGTAGGCCCTCAATAAATACTTGAGTAATGAAATGTTAGTCACTTCTGCTTAACTCACAGTGATTATAGAATGATGGAAATCTTTTAAAATGTATAAACTGTTATAAAATGTAAGGTGTAATATGCACTGAAGGCCTAAATAAGTAGAAATGGACACTGATAAGGGAAGGGTGAAAGACAAAGATGACTCCAATATACTGATTCTTAGTCTTGGTGACTGGAAAAATATATTCACGTAAGCAGATTGTTTAGGAGAGGAACTGAGTAGAAATTAAGACAGGGTTAGGGAAAAAACAGTGATTTATTTAAATTGTCAGGATGTTCAGCAGTAACTAAAAACTGAACAACTAAGTTATTGTTAATATATATATAATAGTTTTGTTTTATATATTACTTTCATATATTCTTAGGTATTTTTCATATGAGAATATTCTAGCTCCTCTGTAAAACTTTACGTTCTTAGAGAAAGAGATTATCTCCTGGGGAATTTGTATTCCTTCCTCATTTAAAAATAAACCACCTGTGTCTGCTACAAAGTTCCATCTGTTCCATCCAATTTATTGGTAAACAAATTACATAGGGCATTGACTGGTTTAAAGATAATTTGTTAGGTTCTTCAGTCCTTCCAGTTTAATACTAAATGGCTACACTTTTTTTTTTTTTTTTTTTTTTTTTTTTTTTTTTTTTTTTAATCATGGAGTCTTGTTCTGTTACCTAGGCTGGAGTGCAGTGGCTCCATCTCAGCTCACTGCAGCAACCTCTGCCTCCTGGGTTCGAGCGATCCTCCTGCCTCAGCCTCTGGAGTAGCTGCGACTATTGGCGGCTGCCACCATGCCCAGCTAGTTTTTGTACCAAACTGCTATACTTTTTGAAAAACTGATACACGATGGTTTACATATTTAGGAGGTATATAGGATATTATGTTACATGCATAGAATATGTACTGACCAAGTCAGGGTATCTAGGGTATCCATCACCTCAAATATTTCTAAGTGCTGGGAACATTTCAAGTCCTCTCCTAGCTATTTTGAAATATAAAAATCATTCACTATAACTAACTATACTAGTTACCCTACTCTGTTATTAAACATTCCTTTGTTTCATATCTCACTGTATATTTGTACCCAACCTCTCTTCAACTGCCCCTCCAACCCAGACACCTTTCCCAGCTTCTGGTAACCATCATTCCACTCTCTGCCTCCATGAAATCAACATGTTTAGTTTCCACATACGAGTGAGAGAACGTGGGATAGTTGTCATTCTGTGCCTGGCTTATTTCACTTAACACAATAACCTCCAGTTCCTTCCACGTTTCTGCAAAGGAAATGATTTCTCTTTTTTGTGACTGGATAGTATTCATTGTGTATATATACCACATTTGCTTTATCCATTCATCTGTTGATGGACACTTAGGTTGATATGTTCTTTGCTGTTGTGAACAGTGTGGCACTGAACATGCAAATGAAGGTATCCCTTTGATATACTGATTTATTTTCCTTTGAATAAATACCCAATAGTGAGATTGACAGATAATATGGCAGTTCTTTTAGTTTTTTTGAGAAATATGTTTCAATAGTGGCTATACTAATTTACATTCCCATTGACAGTGTAAAAGAATTTCTTCTGCCAGGTGCAGTGGCTCATGCCTGTAACCTCAGCACTTTGGGAGGTTGAGATGGGCGGATCACAAGGTCAGGAGTTCGAGACCAGCCTGGCCAATATGGTAAAACTCAATCTCTACTAAAAATATAAAGAAATTAGCTGGGCATGGTGGTGCATGCCTGTAATCCCAGCTACTTGGGAGGCTTAGGTAGGACAATTGCTGGAACCCAGGAGGTGGAGGTTGCAGTGAGCCAAGATCACACCACTGCACTCCAGCCTGGGCAACAGAGTGAGACTCTGTCTCAAGAAGAAAAAAAAAAAGAATTTCTTCTGCATCCTTACCAGCATCTGTTATTTTCTGTCTTTTTAGTAATAACCCCTCTGTCATAGGTGATACCTTATTGTGGTTTTCATTTGCATTTTCCTGATGATTAGTGATATTAAACATTTTTTCACATACTTATTGGGCATTTGTGTCTTCTTCTGAGAAATGTCTATTCACATCCTTTGCCCACTTTTAATGGGGTTATTTGCTTTTTGCTGTTGAGTTGTTTATGTTCCTTGTACATTCTCAACTCTGGTTCCTTGTTGGATTAATAGTTTGTAAACATTTTCTCCCATACAACAGGTTATCTCTTCACTCTGCTATTTCCTTTGCTAAGCTTTCCAGTTTAATATAGTCCAATCTGGCTATTTTTGTCTTTGCTGTTTGTGCTTTTGAGGTCTTAGCCATAAACTCTTTGCTTAGACTCGATATCCTGAAGTGGTATTCCTGTTTTCTTCTAGTAGTTTTATAGATTTATAGGTCTTATATTTATGTCTGAACCGTTATTTATGTGCATCACTCTAAATAGTTTTTACTACTAGTACCTTATAAAGCATAAGCAAATGCCTTATTCAAAATCATATGAGGCTGGGTACGGTGGCTCACACTGTAATCTCAGCACTTTGGGAGGCCAAGGAGGGCAGACCGCTTGATTCCCAGAGTTCAAGACAAGCATGGACAACATGGCAAAACCCATTTCTACAAAAGATTTTAAAACTAGCTAAGTGTGGTGACATGTGCCTATAGTCCCAGCTCCTTGGTGGGGGTGGCTGAGATGGGAGGATCACTTGAGCCTGGGAGGCTGAGGCTGCACTGAGCCATGTTGGTGCCAATGCACTACAGCCTAGGTGACACAGTGAGACTGTCTCAAAAAGAAGAATGTAATATGTTTCTTTCTTTTACATTTTAAACACATATGCCTTTCATTTAGACCCTAGAGTGTAAGATAATTTCTATTCCATTTGAAATCCTTAGTTTCTCCTAGTTTTTTTTTTTTTTTTTTTTTGAGATCGAGTCTTGCTCTGTAGCCAGATTGCAGTGCAGTGGCACGATCTTGGCTTACTGCAACCTCCACCTCCCGAGTTCAAGTGATTCTCCTGCCTCAGCCTTCCGATTAGCTGGGA